TCAATGGCTGGAATCTAGTCTACACCTCACAGGCTTGCAGGTGTCTTTATTAGAAGGTGAAGCGCCACTAAGCTGAAGCTTTGGAGGGAAGCATCCAGGTGAAGGGCACAGGTAGGAAGGATGGCTTCCTCCTGTCTAGTTGCATCTCCTACTAGGGATAGCTGGAGGGGCAGGTTCATGTTTTCATTTTGAATTCCTGGTAGCTCTTCCAGCCTCTCAGAGTCGTCTTGACACAGCCATAAACCTTGTCTAAGGGCAGTGTGGGGAACGTGTAGGATGATGCAGTAAAAGAAGGGCCACTGTTTTCCAGAATTCCAATTGGGGAGCAGATAGGAAAGTGCCCACAGGAGATGGAGTGGAAGGTGGACTCCTCACAGACATCAGTGAGAACAGCTGGCTCTGGTGGGGGGTGGGGGGGGTGGAGGGGGGCTATTGCTGAAGTCACACATTACCACCAGACAATCAAGGCAGCTTACACCAAATCGACTTGGAGAAGATTTATTTGACCAGATTGTTTTAGAAAACCAACAGCAAAACACTGACAAGGTACATAAATACAGATTGGACGTTTCAGGATAAACCCACTCTATGTCCTACTGGCATGTAGGAATCCAGGTAGGATGGAGAAGCTGATCTGACCCTACGGCATGCACACCAGACGCTAGGTAACAGGGAGGTGGCAGATAGCTTTACAGCAAGGCAAACACTGGGTGGGCTACACAGCCTGGCTTAGGATCGGAAGCCTGGGCTCGCCACGCCCTCAGAGAGTACACCTTCTCGTTCTGGCCCAGCTTCTTCCAGTGGTACCTTCGTGGGCAGAGGCCTTTCCAGGGAGACAGCTGGCATCACACTCCATGACCCAGAAGTGGCTCCAGCGAGTCAGTGTGTTTTCAGAGGCTTTTTGTGTTCCAAATGTGCAACGAGCAAAACAGCAATTACTAAAGTTTGTTGAAATGTTTTATTGTTTTGTTTTGTTTTTGTTTTACTTTCTCTCTGAATATTGCCTCTAGCTCACCCTGTCCACAGACTAAGCAGGGGCTTTAAAATACTTCTAAAAAGCTAAAAAAAAAAAAAAAAAAACCAAACCAATTTAAACTTAAAAGGACACTAAAAAGGTACCACTTGTGAAGCACACCACCAGACGGAGGGGGAGGTCACTTTCTGTGAACCGAACGACCCCAGAAGGGAAGCGTCATTGCTGGGCATGAGTTGGTGGCAGCGGGCTAGGCAGTTACTGAGCTCCATCCAGGCGGCCTGGGCTCCTGCCAGGGCTCCTAGAGTTCCAAGGCATCTGGGGAAGCCAAAGCAGTGTGAGCTAATGGTGATGGGATTCTGGAGCTAACCACAGCATCACAAACCCTCACCCACCCTTCGAGTTCATCAATGCCAGAGCCGTGAAGAATGAAGAAAATGGCTTTTTCTTTTTTCTTCTCTTCCGAATCGGAGGCAGACAGTTCAGCTAACTGTACCACTTTCCAAACATTTGTGAGACCACATACAAATAAATTAAGAATTAAGACCAACAAGTAAGTCACAGAGGACAAGCCAACCTTTCCTATACGTCAAGCTAAGTGGCTGGAAAAGGTGTTTTCAAAAGAAAGAAAAAAACCAAGGCTCTGGCAAGGTCAGAGGAAAAGTATTTGTCCAAGAGTCAAAGAAACATGTTCCAACGATGGCATCTCCCCTGCATCACACACAACTTTTTCTTCCCTTTAGTGCTAAGAGTTCTTTGGTGAAAACGCCTAGACCTTGGGGCACTCAGACTGAAGCAGAGGGTTGAGGCGTAACCTCTAAACTCAGGATTACCACCTGTGGTCCCAACGTCAGGTTTCAACCATTGCCAGATTGACCAGTTACAGCTAATCAGCAAGCTTGCTGGTTTTCTAGCCCCTCTGTGAGGAGGAGTCCTCTTTTTCTATCTATAACTACTCATTAGCTCCTTTCATTGAAAAAGGAGGTGTGGGGGGGGGGGCACGAAAGGCAGGGAAGAATCAGAAATGTAAACGAATCAACTGATAAGAAAGTTGAAATACTGATTATCTATGGATTTCAATAATCTGTGCTTTACTCTTGCTACTCTGGGTAACCAAAGGTCATTATTAACATACCTTTTTGTTCATAAATGTTAATCTGTTTATTATTATATTTTTAACCTAGCTATGTAATAAAAAGGAATAGCTTTGAGCAAATTTTTATATCATGTCACCAGGGCCCTGAAAAAATAACATTCTGTGGAGAGAGGTTCAATTTGGCCCCTGAAGAACAGTTCAAGTTTCCAACTATTCTATATGGGTTTATAGTTTTTCCAGGACCTGGAAAACATTTTATTAAATGAAAAAAGCCTTATTTTGTTCATTTAATAAAGTATTAGGTTCGTAGATAAATTGGTATATACCTGGGAAAACGACAGGATTCAACATTTAGGAAACTCCTTACAGGTGTCTTCCTTGTTCCTGGGCAAAGAGATGTAGGAAGACGAGCAGAGATGACTCCAAATGAGTCATCTACTTAACTACTACAAACACAAAACACTAAGTATCTGGCAAACAGGAATCCAGCTTTACCAGGAGTTGGCTGAGCTAGTCGTTCACATGGAAAATTCTTGGCAGGATTTGGCCCTCAAGTAATGAGCTGGTTTCCCCAAGACAGACAGTAAAAGTAATGTATGTGCTTGGTAGTGTATTTGCTTGCAAGCCACACCCTCCACATAATTGGTATCTATCCATATGTGTTCCTATATATTGCACTTACATTGATAGGACTGCGGGCAGATGGTTGGGAGGACCTCTGAGAGGAACAGAAGCAGTGGGCTTACATAACCTCCAGCGTCAGCAATTCCAAGTCCTGGTTGTATTCACACTAACATGCCTGGGGACCGTCTCTACCCAGCCCAGTCATTGACATGAACTCATCCCACACACAGCATCATTTGGCATACAGAACGTGGGCATATGTGGCTTCTACAACACTCAGGTCAAACAATATCATTTACATTAGTGTTGGAGTAAAAGATGACACTTTCAACTGAGGATAAGTGCTTCTCTGCAAATGTCACATACGAGGTTTCTGATGCCAGGCTGCCAAAGTCCACTCAAAGAAGACTGCTGTCGAGAGGCTTATGAAAGGATGTTGGGAAGCACGGCCCGAACCAAACCTCACCTCTCTGCAGCTATCCTGAGGAACAGAGCTAGAGACCAGCTTAGATCGCAAGGGCCTTGGAAGGGGAGGTCTAGAGGCTGAGCACCCAGCTCTCGGCCCCTGTGGAACCCATGACAAAATTCCTTTCCCCACCGAAAACCTGACCTGTTTCACTCTGGATCCATTTGCACAACTACCCAGAGACAGTGTGGGAGCAGTGCTCAGGAGAAGTGGGTGATAAGGGGTGAAATGCCAACCAGACTGCAATGATACAGGGGTGTACGGCTCCTGGAAGAGACACCCCTTTTCCTGGCTCTCCTCCACTCCCCTCACACGCCACAAACTCACACGACTGGTTACTATGAGCCTTTGCAGAATACATGCTTCTAGGAGTCTATGGATCGAGTTGTCTCATTTCCAGTCCTGAATACTGGATGACAACTCTTTAGCCATAACTCAAAGATGATTTTAAATCCACACACAAGCTGGGGAGAAGGAATAAAGAAGAAGAATTGAAAAGTCAGGTGAAAAAGAGGCACTTAAAGGAAAAATGTATCCCTAGTCCTACGCCTCAGTCTCTGACCAACACTGTCCCCTCTTGGACGCAGTCAGCACCTTTATTCAGCCTCTGCCTTCCCAGCGCTCAGGTCTCCTGAGCAACTTGACGGCAGGGCCCGGGAAAATGCAGGTCATTTGCTTTTGAGGGCTATGCACAAAGATACAAACAAAACCAGAACTCAAATTTCACATTAAAAACAATGACTGATACTCAGTTTCATTCTTTCCTCATGCTTGTTTTTAAAAAAGGATGCTTGGTTCTTCAGGAAGGACGAACGTGTGGTTCCCCCCGGTCCCAAGACCCTTTCTCCAGTTACTAGAGAATTATTCACAGCACCATGCACGTTAAAGCAGACAGAAAAGGAGGCCAACTGACTTTCTAGAGCGAGAATTTGCTGCCTGAGAAGATGACAGGGACAAGGCCTGGAGTGAGAAAGGAAACGAGTTCTGAAGAGGAAAACGGTCATGTGGCATGTGGCAGTCAAAGCTCACAGCCTGAGCAGAAGGCAAGTCACAAGCCCCAGCGGGCGGGAACCCTCTCTACGCTGCTCTTCCTCAGCTAGCCTTTCGTGAGCTTGTTCATGTGCCATGCTACTGATGCCACATGTTTACATCTACATCTCCCATGAAGATCAAAGAGCTACTTGAAACCATTAATAAACACAGAATTTCAAAATTGCCCAGAAGGATGAACTTTGACCACCGTTAAGTGTCTTGATTTGAAACGTTCTTGGTGCCCTTAAAGAGCAATCGCAGCAGTACTACTGTCTCCCGCATACACATTCTCAGACCAGCCACCTGTGGCCAGTGTTGGACTCGAAGGACCAGAGAAAAATCAATGACCAAGAGCCGCTGAGCTGCTTCACACAGCCAAAGGCTAAGTCTGGAGTGTGGGTATCTCGACAGCAAGATGCCAACCACAGCTGCCGTTAGACCCAGCTACTCAAGTAGGGACATTAACTCCACAGAGGAAGTTACGCATCGGGGTGTAAGTATAACCTGCAAGAGTCTCCAGGCTAGCCTTCTTCTTCTGTCCCCACTGAGGACGGCTAGGCGCAGTTGCTGGCTTGGTTTCTTGGCGATTTTGTTGATGATAGTGTTTTAGTGGGTAGAGCACTGGCTGGCCATGGCTATGTGTTCCAAGTTCCTTCAAAAAACTGCGCTCTCCTTTGATTCATGACATGATTAAGGTCCTTTCAGACTTTCCCTCAAGGAGGAGGAGGTGGTGTATAAGGATGTGTGCGGACTGGGAGGGGAAGGAAGCACGGGGAAAGTCAGATTTCCAGAAACTTAAAAACCAATTGACAGAAAGGCATCTGATGTATTTTCTGAATAAGGCCTTGATCAGGTTAACCAATCCTCTTTGTGGCACATTCTCCACTGCCCATAAATAAAGGAGTGTCTTTAAATGAACATTTCCAGTATCAATGAACAGTCCACAAATCTTCATTTCAAGCGCTCGATGAGTCCCTGTGTGAGTCCAAGGTGCAGAAGCTGTGTCCGGGAGAGGTTGGCCAGGTTGGGGAAGGCCGTGAGCAGCTTCTCCCATGCCAGTTCCAGCAGGCTAGGTACCACGAGCCAGATCTTAAACAGGGACCCAGTCCGTTTGTTCTCGTGGATGTTCACCACTCCTCCGTGGATGTACATACAGCCAGCCTGTGGACAAGTGGGCGAGAGACACATACACAGGCAGAAGAGTCAGCAAACCCAGCACAGTGGGCTCGACCTAGAAGACATGAAACGAGACTCCTCCCTGGTTCCCACGCTGTGCAGAGATCAATTCACCAATGACGGACTGATTGAGGGATAAACTAAAGACTTTTTAAACTTCAACAAATAGTACACTAAGACTAACTAGCTTTGGTACCCACGGTATCAACTACGGCAAACACTAAGATAAAAATAAAGGTCTTTGCCTTTGAGAACCTAGGCGGAGCGTCAATAACATGGCATCGTGAGGGTAAACTCCCGTGCCCGCCCTCCCAAGAAGCGCTCTGAGTCACCGGCACAGCCTGAAGGCCCCGGGGCAGCATTTCTCATGTCTTTCTGCTGTTCTGCCAGCTGGGGTGTGATGGTTTTTCTCCCCTTCTCTCAGGACTGGCGAGCGCCGGGAGAAAGTTTTAAGAACACACTCTTAACACCAGGTTTGCCAATAACAAAATATCTTTTGTTCTTTCTAAGAAAGATTTCCTTATCATCTGCAATTACATAAACAAGATGCAAAAATAAAAACTTACTGGTGTTACAGCTGCACAGTGAAAATACACAGGCTCAGGCATGGTAGCTGGGAGCTTCACCCACTGAAAAGTCTGCAGATTCAACTTCCAGATGTCTCCCAAGATCACTTCTCCATTATAGCCCCCACAAATAAATACGTCTATCAAGAAAAGAGAAAGCCTGGGTCACACAAAGGAAAAGCGCCCAAGCTACCGTGTGTTTTGTCGTAGACCCATGGCCAGCTGGCAGGGACTCTGCTGGTATGGCATCCTCAGAGTGCTGACTGTCCCTCAATAGCATGGTACTGGGGCCTAACTGGGATTATGGGTGCAAGCTTCTAAAGATGATTTCTACCAGGACTCACAAACTAAAACACCTACAGGTGCCAGGCTGAGAGGGTGAGCAAGGAGGTCAAGCCAAGGGAAACACCAACTCAGGAGGTTGCAGCGACTGAGGATCTGAGGCCCACAGTTAACAGGCCTTCTCATTCCTCAAGAGACGCTGAAATCTGGATTTTTAAAAAAGTAAATATTTTTGATTTTTCAGTGTTGGTCACTAATTAAAAAAAAAAAAAATGTTACAACACTGAGGGGCCAAACAAAAGGCACCTGCAGGTCACCAGGGACAAATAACTCGAGAACTCTGTAAATATAGTCCCCTGCCCACGGAAAAGCACGTCCTCTGGACGTGTCACCAAGGAGACGCCATCCCTGCAGGGACACAGAAGGGGCTCACCCAGCTTTCCTTAGCCAACAGAGGGCAGGGGGAAGTTTCATTCGAATTCTTTATGTCACTAACAAAAATACACCAAAAGGAACGTTTTGGGGGATAAAGTCAGCTAGTTATAAAGAATTAGACATCTTACAACAAAGCTATATGAACCTCTAAACTAAATGCCCTTTCACAGAGAGTGCCTAACCCAGAGTGCAACTTTTAGCTCAAGTTTAATTAAGCTGATAATTAAACCATAAAATGCACTGGAAACGTTATCTGGCTAGGATTCAAGAATAACACCTTAAAAGTACAGCTCCATTCTCAGAGAGGCAAAGTAGCACACTGCACTCACTATCTATCTATCTGACCCAAAAAATAGATAATGAAAGTAGTTCCTCAGAACTACTATATAACCCTAGTTATATAGTAACTAGCTTCAAAAGGTTTAGGCTATGGACCTCATTTATCCATACCCTCCTCCCAGAAACCGTCTGAGGAGGCACATCAAACTGTAAAATAGGTCGTAAGTTCCAAGGAGGCAGAGCGTTCTCCAGGGGAGCCATCTTTCCCCTTCAATAAACGTGTCACATTCGGAAGCCATACAATAGCTCTATTGCGATATGGGCCAAGAACGAACTAAGAGGTCTATTTGCCTCACACCTACAACAGAATAGGCTTTATGAAATGACACTCTGAAGGCGTTATTACAATTTTAATACAGTGTCCACGAAGGTCTCTATAGCAGTCAAAATAACCCCACCATCAGAACAGTCACCTGTGAGGTGGGATACGGAAAGAGCAGGTGGTATTACTGGCAGGTTTTGAGTTCCCTGACAACAGTGAGAACTCAAATACCGCCCTAAGTTTATATTAATGAAAACACAGCTGCGAGAGGCAGAACTTGATGGACTTTCCCTTGAAGTTTAAACTATTAAAAAAAATACAATAAAATAAAAACTCTTCCCAAAGCCATGCATCTTTTTTGAGATGCCATCATTAGAGAGAAGACATTGCCCACAGTCATCTAAACTAATGACAGAATGGACTGAGATTGTTATTTAGAACCTTACCATTTTTTATTTGAACACAACTGTGACATCTTCGGGCTGCAGGGAAACCTGCCAAACACAGAAACATAGTAATCCCACTGTTCACAGGAAGACCAGGAATAAATACAGCAAACACGCACTATAAGGAGTTCCCTTAAAACCCCCTTGGGTAGTGTTAAGTCAGGGGTGGGGAAGGTCTGGCCCAGCCAAGGCAACCACAGTTCCAGCCATCACACTGTGGGAAATGCTTGACCAAATATAGCAGGCTAATTTTTAAGTTGCTAATTTTGTATGGCCCATGAATGATGCTATAAATTTTGGCAGAATAAAAAAGGCTTCCCACCCCTGCATTAGGCGAACGTTGACTAGTCGTTTCCATTCTTCCCGACCACACACTGAAATGACCTGGCCATGAGAGCCTCCACCCTAAAGGCACAGTGGTTAGGTGCCAGGGTCCTAGTGGTCTCTGGTTTCCCTTAACTGACAGAAGCAGGTCTGGGTTTAAACTCCTGACCTGTGTTTCTTAGCCCACCGGCATTTCCCTGCTCCTGACACAGAATTCCACAATCTCCACCAAAAGTCTCTGCTCAGTTGCAGAGGAGGAATAATAACTGAGCTCAAGAACTCAAGTTAAGTTCTAGAACGAGGTCAACAGACACTTCAGTTGCCATATAGAGCTCAACAAAATTACTTCCTCTGTTCCAAAACAAGTATAAAACATCAGGTATTAAAATAAGTGAATCATTCCTTGGAATTTACCTATTTTTTCATGAGGTTTTGTTGCAATTTCCTCCCATGCATTCGTTTCGAGGTTGTATGCGTGGATCTTGGAGAAGAAGAAAAAAACAAACAAACAAAAAACATACATACACACAAGGATAAACAACTGTAATTTTAGCCAGCCTGAAAGCTGGATTTTAAACAGCTGCTACAAACAAGTATTCTTGGTTTAAAATTCTTCATTTCCTTGTATTTCTCTGATTATGCATAGTTCTAACATAAGTCTGTTGTGCCTAAGGTCGCTATGGGTCAGTACCGACTTGATGGCACCTAACAACAACAACAACAATGTAAGTCAGGAAAGCACAGTGGCTTCATATAATAAGCACTGGACTACTAACCAGCTGCTCTGTGAGAGAAAATTGAGACTTTCTGCACTCACAAAGATTTGAATCCTCAGAAACCCTACACAAGGTAGCTGTGAATCGGAACCAACTTGACAGAACTTATCAACAACAATATAAAAGGCAAAACATTAAGTAAGCCAGTTGAAAATGAAGCAATATGATTTTTGAAAAATTAGACATAAAAATGAAGAAAGGTTGGCCTGAGCACAGTGTCTCTCAGACGGAAGAGATGATTCCTACTTCCTCTAGATGCTGTCCTAATCTTTCAGATCTTCTACAATGATCACGAGTCTTGCTTGGTTTCTTAAACCACACAACAGGAGAAATAGTAGGATTATTTGTTGCCAAGACATACAGTACAGAAACACAGGAATGCTGCAACCCAAACTAGCTTTTCCCTGAGCTATCTAACGATGATGACATTTTAGCAGCTCCAGGGATGGCTGGATAAAAAGTCCTTCAGAGCTCAGCTTTCTAAAGCTCAGGATGCACGGCTACACGCTCCAGTACTTTTTAGCTACGCAGGCCTGACAGTAGGAGAGGAGTCCTGGTTTCAGTTCCCACTGTTCTTGTTACGTGCCATGGAGTTGATTCTGACTCACAGTGACCCTGTGCAGGGTTTCCAAGGAGCAGCTGGTGGGTGTGAACTGCCGACCTTGTGGTTCAAAGTCTAGTGCTGATCCTACAGCGCCATGCCAGGAGTCCTAAGTTGCTGAACATCTCACGCAAGCTTCTGTACCTTGCTTTGAGTCCCTCTCCTCATCCTGCCTAAGCGGCTACTTTTCATAAAGCATATTCAATGTGTGACCAATGTAACTGTCAGCTGGAAATCAAAACAGGACTCAGAGTCTGACTTTTATGTGATAAAAAGGATCTACCACAAAATAGGTGTCCATGAAAAACCTGGCCCCAAAGAAAAATACTTGAAGACACAGAATCACAGCACATGCCTTGCTCGGTCCCTCTCCCTCGGTTTTGCTTTTTACCTTGTTTAAAGAATAAGCTGTCCAAGATGTGCCACCTCCCAAGATGTAAATCCTCTGCCCATCATGCGCAATTTCATGCCTGTATCTGAAAATATAGATAACAGAGTGCTGAAAAGAAGTGAAAAGTGATCTACTTACGACTTACCCGTAAGGACTCTTATTTATCATAATAACACATTGGGAAATAATATAAGTGTTTAACATTAGGGAATTGGTTAAATAAATCATAAAACAGATTTGGCTATAACCAATACGAAAGGAGCATAGAGGGTCTTTAATATTCTGAGAACTAGTTTTCATGTCAGTAAGCAAAAGAAAAAAATTAGTCATGTAAAGGCAGATAAACTGTAATTCTATTACAATTTATAGACATACACATATGCTGGGGAGATGACTATAAAGGCAATCCATAATGTTAACCCTGAATGTCTGAGTTTAGTTTATTTTTTTTCATTTTTTATATTTTCTATAATCTTTTTGTGACAACTTTGTGTAAGGGGAAAAATTACTATAGAGTTTGAAAACTTGACCTGCCTACAGTCAACGAAAGCCTCAAGACTCCAGGCTTTCACATTAAGGTACTTATTTAGCATATTCAAAGGGATCTAAAACAGTGTGCTGCAAGAACGGTGAGTACAATGGGGAACACCTCCCAGAATCCCTTATTCAGGCAGTCTAGCTACAAGTTGAAGGACTTTATAATATTTTCATAAAATGCTTCAAAGAAGGCAACCATGTGAAAACTGTTTGAAAATTTAATCTATACCTACATTCCTACATTTTTATAACAACAGAAAAATATGTCATATGCCAGAAAAACAACAACTTAATTTCTTTCAAGTCTTCAAAGTGAAAAAGGAACAAATTTGTCTTGAAAGATATATAGCCAGAATGCTCCTTTGAAGTACGGATGGAGAGACTTTGTCTCACATCCTTTGGGCATGTTATCTGGAGGGACCAGTCCCAGGAGAAGGACATCATACTTGGTAAAGTGGAGAGTCAGCCAAAAAGAAGAAGACCCTCAACAATAAACACACACAGTGGTTACAATGGGTTCACACACAGCAACTATTATGAGGCCGGCACAAGATCAGACTGTGCTTTGCTCTGTTGTACACCGGGTTGCTATGAGTAGAAACCAACTTGAGCGCACCTAACAACAATCTAATTCCTCCTTTCCCTGAAGGCCCTGGTATTAATAAATTATATCACAATGATTTCAGTTAACAGGCAAACTTTCAAGTCCTTCTCAACAGTTCTGCAAGCATGAGTCTACTAACATAATATGAGAGAGAGATTCTTCCTTAGTACCTACTCATCATTTTGTTTAGAGGCTACAAAGAGATACCCATCTAAACAAAGTGAATTACAAAGCGTTTACTGTCTGTGCTTTTAAACTCCAGAAAAATTTTCTTCAAGTTTTTTAGTGAGTATAATTTACGAGGAAGTGACTGCTAATTAGGAAAGAAAAATGAAAAATCTTACACCACTGCTGAAAAGCCACAAGAGATCTTCATGGGATGGCTGAGTGTTGACCCTCTCTTCCATCTACCCACCCACCCAGTCCACATTCACTTAGCCACCCCAGGAGCCTGGCCCCCATCCCTGTACTAGGGATGCAGCTGGGAGCAAGCAGTGAGAGAATCCTAATATGTGAGTGCAGAAAGGAACAACAAATGTAGAAAGCAACTGTTTCCCCTGTAGTATGAAACTGATTTACAAATGGTATCATTTGTTCCTTCTTCAAAGTGTTTCTTCCTATCTTCTTGATGCAGAAAGACTGAAATATGAGAGGTAAAAACTCTGCAGATAAGAAGAAAATACATTTTACTTATTGCTGGACTGGGATTCAACAGCCACTTAACCCTTTTTGACCAGGGTCAAATGGGTTTTCTTCAACCATATTTCCAGTATTCTGAAAGAAATACAATTTTAACAAGAAAAACTCAATGAGCTTGCGTCCTTGAACCTCACCTCTCTTCTGGCAGGTCACAGGACAGGTTGTTGGGTTTCAGTTGTGTCCACTCTCTAGTATTGAGGTCTAACTTGTGTAGGTCTGTGCTGTAAATGTAACCGGTTGTCCCTCCAAAAACATAAAGGGAGCCGTTGATGATAGCCATGGCCTGCAAAACAGGGAAGGCGGGAAGACTGACTCCTAACACCTCGGGGCAAAGCATGCACTCACCACACAAAACCCCAGATCAGGTTTTAGGAAATTCGCTTCTACATGTTAACCGTCTAATAGATCAGACCCTGACAGAACTGAAGGCTTCAAAGAGCATAGGGATTCTTTTTAGAAAGGCAACGCTTTGGCCACCTAAGTAAATTCTACCTATAAGTAGGCAAGGGGGTTAGGCAGCCCTTAGGGGTTCCTGTTAGCCAAAGAGTTGACAGATCAAAGGCATGACGTTCCTTTCTAAGCAGCGTGAAGAGCAATGCTCTCCAGCAGCAGCAGGTAGGAAAAGAAGCAGAGTGGACATTTGCTGCTAAACTCTTCTGCAAAGTAAGGTTAGCCACTGCTATGGTCACGTCTTAGAGTCTAACGGTCTCCTGTGGTGGGACTCGGAGTTATCAAGTACGTTTATTAAGTATGCGCCCTGCCAACGTTAAAGCTCAGACACTGTTTGTCAGTACAGACGCCGGCTAGTTCAGAAAAATGCCAAAGCTTGATTGTCTTAAGTTTATTTAGGTCATTACTCTTTAAGTGTCTGTGATGTACCCCCTTTTTTTCCCACAGCTAACTTTCAAGCACTGGAACCAACGCTAATTTATGCACGATGTGTGCTTTAGCTCAGATCTGGGACAAAGTTTCCGAGCCAAGTGCAGGGATCACCTAGCTACTACTTAGGCCAGAAAGTTCTTCAGAGAATCGTTTCACTGATGGCCACACTGCGGCCCAATCTCATGGGGGAAGAGGAGTACTGACACTTAAAGAGCTTCCACAGAGATCTCCATTTAACTGGATTTGAAACAAAAGGAGAGAGAAGAGGGAAAGGCAAACAATGAAATTTACAAATTTTAATTTCACATCAGAACGGAAAAATCACATACTAACTACATTGAATTCATTCTCCATTTAAAAAAATAAAACAGTAACAATGTAAATATTCTAGAGAAGCATCACCAAATACATCCGCCAAGACTGGCCACAGACTGGTACCTGTCCATATATACGACTGGGTTTCTTCCCCCGACAGCTGAGTAACGCCCATCTCTTATACTTCACGTTGCAGACATGGACGTCATTGCCGTTGCTCTCACCAAATGGGATGCCCGTACCTCCAAACACTAGCAGGTTGTTTCCATGGAGCACAACTGGGGAAGGAGAAGTACACATTCCATTTACATGAGGGCTGCCTGCAACGTGTCTCCACACAAACCCAGGAGAGCTGAGAAACTAACAGTGCTCTAGGAACATAACCCAAACCTCTGGCATCTAGCTGCTACAAAGTCCTGCAGAAAAAGGTTTAACTTACACAAAAGACTATGCCATTATTAAGTGCATGGACACGCACTTATGGAATGATTGAAATACTGTGTGTAATAATCTAGATTATATGTACAGGCAGCGGACCACTGCTGCTACTGACAGTTCAAGGATGCTGCAAAGCAGACGAAAACCAAGTGTCCACCTTTGCCTTACAAGGACCCAATGGGACTCAGGATGTACGAATCAAGGATTGTTCTGGTTTTACTGCAGTTTAAACTGTGGGGTCTGTCATCTTAATCCTCTCCCAGGTCAAAAAGAAACACATCAGTGTCCTTCTCTGAAATCTGGGTGTTCTTCCCTAGGAAGTGTGTATCTCTGCCAACACACACACACACAAATTACAAACTTTATCTCTCTAATGGCAAACAGTCTTAAAATAGCTGTGCTGTATGTATTCTTTCAAGGACATTTAAAGAAAAACAAATTGTGATTCTGGTGCAAGTTTACAGAGCAAATTTGTTTCCCATTCAACAATTTATATCCCTTTTGTTTTGTGACAAAGTGTATAAACTGTGTAGCCGCTCTCTTCCCACTTCCCCCTGCCATCCCCATTTCCATTGGCCCACCTTTCCCGCCCCTTTCTACCATCATCTGAACTTTGTTTTAGGTACACGCTACCCTCTTGGTCTCCTACGGGGGACTGTTCCTGAGAAGCATATTCCTCATGAGTGCTAGTAATTACTTTATAGGCCTGTCTACTGTTCGGCTGGAAGTTGATCCTGGGGGTGGATTCAGTTCTAGGCTTGAAGGGTGTCTAAGGGCCAGAGTCCTGGGGATTCTACCAGTCATTAGCAGACCAATGAATCTCATCTTGTTTATAATTTTGAATTTTGGTCTATATTTTTCTCCCACTCTGTCTAGGACCTTTTAGGATCTTGATCAGAACAGTCAGCAGTAGTGGTAGCTGGGCACCATCTACTTCTTCTGGTCTCAGGCTAGTGGCGATGTAGTCAATTGTTATTGTGAAGTGCCATCGAGTCAGTTCTGACCCATAGCAACCCTGTATAGGGTTTCTAAGGAGCAGCTGGTGAGCCTGAATCACCGCCCTTGTGGTCCAAATGACTTTGCAATCCTGTGCACTAACCACACCAGTACTTCATAATTGTTTCCTTGAGTCTTTGATTTTCTTCACTTAGATTTGCCATGAGCTCTGGTAGCGTAGTGGTTACGAATCGGGCTGCGAACCTTAAGGTCAGCGGTTCGAAACTACCAGCTGCTCCGCGGGAGAAAGATGAGGCTTTCTACTCCCGTAAAGATTTACACCCTCGGAAACCCTGTACAGGGTCGCTATGGGTCGGACCCGACTCAACGGCACTTAACAACAACAACAATATTTGCTCCGGATGGGAAAAGACCAATAGCTGTATCTTAAATGGCCACTTGCAAGCTTTAAAGACCCCAGTCACTATTCACCAAAGTAGGATGCAGAACATTGTCTTTATAGACTATGTTAGGAAAATTGACCTAGAATCCCCCAAGACCGTGAATCTAAGGCTAAGAAGTTTGCATAACGTTTCCCCTGTACACATTACTATGTTCATTTGCAGCACGTCCAAATACTTATATAAAAATACCTTGTGCCAAACCTCCTGGTGTACCCCTTACATCATCCCACACTTACTATGTATCCACTTAATACATTTTTGTTTGTTACCATTGTTACTGGAGTCCAGGTGTGGCTCTGCAGGATAAGCACTGGACTGTTAACTGCAAGGGCGGCAGTTCAAACCCATCAGCTTGTCCTTGCAAACCCTATGGGGAATGCTGTGAGCCGTAACCAACTCGATGACACGTGACAGCACATTACTGTTGCCGCAGGACTGGGTACACCCTAGTATTCACTAGTGTTACCTTTTCCTCTCGCACAGCTCCTAGGAAAATCCCTGCCATCAAGTCGATTCCCATTCACAGTGACCTTGTAGGACACAGTAGGACTATGCCACCAGATTCCTGAGACTACAAATCTTTATGTCGTTGTTGATGTGCCACGGGAGTCGGTTCCGACTCTGAGTGACCCCGTACAGGGTTTCTGAGGCTGTAAATCTTTCTCCCATGGAACAGCTGGTAGTTTCGAACTGCTGACCGTGAGACTAATAGAAGCAGACAATCTCATCTTTTTCCTATGGAGTGTCTGGTGGGTTTGAACTACTGACCTTGTGGTTAGCAGCCCAACACTTAACCCACAGAGCCACCAGGGCTCCTTTCAGTGTCTTCCTTTTCCTTGATCATATTGTGCTGACCTCCCCCTTACTGTGTACTTCCTTTCTCTTCATTGTTGGATAAGCACTGGCCTGCTAAACACAAGCAGTCGCTCCTCAGAAACCCTAAACTGGGTCACTGTGAATCAGAACCAACTTGACAGCACTTAACACCACCACCACCACCTAGTTAAGGAACCCTGGTGGCGCTATAGGATAAGCACTGGACTGCTAAATGCAAAGTTGGCAGTTCAAACCTACCAGCCGTTCTGTGGAAGAAAGCTGAGGCTTTCTGCTCTCCTAAAGATTCCCAGCCTCGGAAACCCTACACAGTGTTGCTGTGAGCTGGAGTCCACTTGATGGTAGGGGGTTTGCTTTTGGTATCTTGTTGTAATTCTTTCCCCCTCCGCTTCCCATTCCTGGTAACGTTTCTTTCGGGGAAAGCCTTTTCTTGACATTTTATAACAGCAGTCTCATGTATTATTTCTCTTTTTCTGATTGATTTATTTCACTCAGCACAATGGCCTCAAGATTCATCCGTGTTGTGAGATGTTCCGTGGCTTCACCATGATTCTCTAAGGTCATATTCCACATGTAGGGTCTCTGAGTTGGAACTGCCTCGATGGTCTGGTGTGGATTTTGGTTTAGTATATGCCTATGTGTCCATACCATGAGTTTGTTTATCCATTCATCTATGGATGGCCTTCTTTTTTTTAAATGTTTTATTGTGAATTATATGATAGTTTACATGGGAGAACTTTAGTTTTACATTCATTCCATCGTATATCATCTCATTGCCATGGTTCCAATTCCCTCCATGCATCATCAACCACCCAAAGGGTATATCCCAGAAACCCGCCCCCTACACTTCCCCTTCCTCCCCCCAGTTTTCGGCCCACAGTCCCTTTCCCTCTCTGGGTCCAAAGTCCCCAGTCGCTTCATCACTCCACATCTTGATGGCCTTTTTTTAAAGCACTTCTGTAATTTATATACTGTACTCATCAACAGCATGGCCTCGGGAGGCAGCAAGACTTGGGTGACGGTCTAGTGAGATCTCAGGCAACTTATTTCATCTCTGAATTCATCTTAGAGCTTACCTAAGAGGCCGGAACTATTATTATCTTCCCCATTTTGACAGATGATGCCACAGGGGCAGCGAGTGGCTTACATAACCCATTGAAGAATAAAGAACTCCACCAACCGTATTCAATCCCAGGCAGTATGGCTCCAGAGCGCTGATTTTACCCATTACTTTTAGGGGCTCTCTAAGGCCTCAGTTTCCTCCTTTGTACAATGGCAGTAATTCCAGTACCTGCATCCTAGGGATGCTGTGAGGGTTGGATGGATAACCTATGTGAAACACCTTTTCCAACACCATTATCTAAAAGCAGTTTGCTGGTCCTCTACACCTCTGACCCAGCATACCTTATGATACTTTATATCTGACCCTCTGACAGATGATTGATCTCATTTTACAGATAAGGCAACAGAGGCTAAAAATTAGCTGGCAAGTAGATAATATATAGCTGGATCCAAACTCAAGACTATTTAGCTTTCAGGTGACCATGAGTCACGATGCTATATTGTTGTAGTTGTTGTTAAGTGTAGTTGAGTCAGTTCCAATTCACAGCGACCCTGTATAGGGTTTCGGAGGAGCAGCTGGTGGGTCTGAACTGCTGACTTTGTGGTTTGAACTGACCTTGTTATCCATGGCCCAGTGATATCTCCTGCAGCGCCACACCAGAACTCCGATGCTGCATTACTGCCGTAGTGAAAAGGCCTGCCCACCGATAACCCTGTTAACCCTGTGAACATGCAAACTGTCAACAAGGCGCAGTGACATTGAAGCTGGCCTCCCAGACCTTTGATGAAGTCCAAAGTTCAGAACCGCTTGTACTCACGTGACATAGATGCCAGTTCCCGTGGCATGTAGCCATCTGTGCCCATCTGGTGCCACACCCCTGTAGCAAAATGGTACCTCCACAGCTCCCTGAAGAGAGGGTAGTCTTCATTGTCTGGCCCTCCGGATTCATCATAATCTGGGTTATAGCCTCCAAACACATATAGGTTGGTATTATCGGCCACACACCGATGTCCACTTCGTGCTGGTGGAGGTCTGTGGCCTACAAGAGAAGAGGGCAGTTTGTTACAGGTGCCTCAGCAGATGAAAGACCCAAATGAAATGACCTAACGACAATTTCAGCTTTATAAGGGGTCTTTGGCTTGCCTAGGAGGCCCTTTTGTACATTACGTTACATTCACACCACACACACACACACACACTACTTAGGGTTTTAAGGAGCTAGTCTACTTTCAGAAGTTGGTAACAGTAAATAGATTTTCCCCGAGAGACGCAAAATGGCATTATGAACTCTCTTTCAAGAAAATGAAAATGGTTGACCACTTGGAAATTTCAAGAAACAAAAGAGGAGGGATTTAACAATCCAAATGCTAAAAGGAAAAATTTTCTCATTTCCTGAGAGGAAAAATCCAAACAAAGGCCAACTAAATTAAATCATGACTATTAGAGAACTATGTAAATATAATCACAAATGTGAATGAGCCATGTATAAATAAAAACACACACACATAAAACCTATGATTTTTTTCCCTACAATACATAATTAAATACTTTAAAAGAAAACTGGGCTTTCAATGAGTTACAGCAAAATTTAGAATTTAAATACCATGCCAAAGATTATAGAGTTTAACAAAGAATAGCCTTCTCTTTATCTCTAACATCACCTTTAATACTATTAAGAGTTTTACTAGGAAGAGCTGTTTCTACAATGCATATTGGAAAGCTTCCTGAAGTTTAAATTATATTAACTAGTTCATGAAAAATTATTTCAAGTTTAGAGTCCTAACTCTCCCCACCCCAAATTTTTTTATTCTATATTATTTCTAGTCATACAATTTTTCATACCAATCTATAGAAACCCTTGTACAACTATGGTACCACAGATGCTTAAGTCTATACTGGCTAGGAATGAGAAGCTTCTATACCTGTTAACCCTACAGACAAATCTATTTTCAGAAAAGGGGGCTTCAAAAAGATCATGGGAAAACAGAATGTAAAGATGACGGAATTTTTCCACAAACTTTCTGCAGGCCCCTTGTATGTTAGTCATGTTGGTGCCTGCCGTGGGGCCAGCTGTGGCTCATGGTGGCCACACACACACACGTCATCAATACATGTCAACCCTGTATCTCTGAGAGGTCTGAGCCCATGAGGCCCAACGCTAGTAATAGCTAGTACTACAAGACTAACACTTAGGACACTGCTGGGCAGCTATCGTTACATGGATAAACATTTATTACTAACTTAACAGGATTGGGATATACTTATATTTTTCAATCAACATCCCACTGTCTGTTGTTATTGTGTGCCGGCGAGTCGCTTCGGACTCGTTGCAACCCTACAGGACACAGCTGAGCTACCTACCCCATGGGGCTTCCCAGGCTGTCATCTTTACAGGAGCACATGGTCAGGTCTTTTCTTCAGAACAGTGGCTGGTGGGTTTGAACCACTGACCTTTCAGGTATCAGTCAAGTGCTTTAACCGTTTTGCCACCAGGCTCCTTATACATTAAATTTTCAAACTCTAAATCCCACTTTCTAGGGTGTGCTTTTAATTCAGAATTAAAAAAAAAAAAAAAAATCTCAAGCACCTTTAAAAAAAAGGAAAAAGGTAATGGTGAGTCATTGAGAGCCACTAAGCCCAACCTGTAGGAAGTGGGAAGTTCTCTGCCTGGCATTTCCGCTCCTGCTCTGCACCTGCCTCCCTCCACCTAGTTCTCACTCACTGTTCACTGTTGCCTAAGCTTGTCCCTCTGCAGGATCCTTCCCTTCTACCTCAGCCAACCTATCGCTCCTCATTGTGGACCCGCTTCCAACTCTAGCCCCAAATCTTGGGGTACTGACAGCTCAGTGCCATTTCACTCCAATGTTAGGAGTATGGTGGTTGCTCAGTGCCTTCAGGTCAGCTCCGACTCATAGCAACCCTGTACAGGGTTTCCAAGGGAAACCTTTCTGTGGGAGCAGAAAGCCCCATCTTGCTATCGCAGAGCAGCTGGTAGGCTCCAACCACTGACCGGTGGTTCACAGTCCAGTGCTTATCTTCTAGAACCATGCACTCCCCAAAGCTACCACACGGCACACATGTGCAATTAATAACACGGTTACACCTTACTCTTGTAAGCAAATGCATAAGTACCTACAAGGCAAAGTGGAATCAGTTAGTAAATTTACTAACCAGTTGGGAGTTCCCTTAAAGAATTCAGTATCTCTCTTCTTTCTAGGAATCTTGAAGTACAAAGAGCAGTGTGAAAGACAGAGCTCAAGTGCCTATAAATATCCACGTGTGAATTCAGGTTCTTTCTTACTGCTGCTTGGAGCAGATCACTGATCCTCCTTGAGCCTCAACTTCCTCACATGTACGCTATGTTGTTGTTAAGTGCTGTTGAGTCTGTTCCGGCTCATAATGACTCTCTATAAGGTTCCTGAGGAACGACCGGTGAGTTTGAACTGCCAACTTTGCAGTTCAAACCAACTTTGTGGTCCAGTGTTTATCCTACAGCACCACATGGGAATATTAGTAACAGGCCTCAGATTTAGTATACTTGTGATTAGGTGTAAGTGTCTATTGCTTTATATAAGTGTATCTTTCTCTGGTAGCGTAGTGGTTACGAAGCGGGCTGCGAACCTCAGGGTCAGCAGTTCAAAATTACCAGCTGTTCTGCAGGAGAAAGATGAGGCTTTCGGCTCCCATAAAGATTTACAGCCTCGGAAACCCTATACAGGATTGCTATGAGTCAGAACCGACTCCATGGCACATAACAACAGCAACAAAAAAATCTTCCCTGAAGGCCGTGAGCTATCTGAGGGAAGAAGGCTGTATCTGAATTCATCTTCCTACCAGCAAACGTAAGGCTGGGCCTGATGTATAGAAGACACTCCACAAAGCTGGGAATCAATTGACATGGCATGTGACTTTTCTCTACTCTTTTCATCAACGTCCGTTTTTTTTTTCTCCAAATAGATAAGTTCCTCAAGGGCAAAGACCTTGTGTAACAGCTCTCCTGTATCACCCACACCATGCTTCACTGATTTTAACTTCAGGTCACAGTAAACAGGGACAAGTGCACTCTGATGTGCTTAGGTTTAGATATTTCTGATTTAGGAGACAGGTGCTGGATTAGCCATGGTCTTCTCCCCAAAGCATACATGCTTGCTAAGACAAACAGCTGGAACTCCATAAACTATCTAGAGTGTTACTTGTTTTTATTACCAGGAGTCAATGAATAACTTAAAAGCGCTTTGGGGCAAATATGAAAACAAGAATTTTCTCAAAATGGCTATACAGCAGGGCAGGGAATCTGTTTAAGTTTATTGACTACTATGTTAATGGCTAAATATAACTCACTTCCATAGATTACCTTCTGAGTCATTAGTGAAAGGGACAGTTTTACATTCATTCAATTTAGCATTCATGAAAAAGTATCTATCATTGGGGCTGAGGATTCAATGGGAAGGCAATCACTCTCTGTCCTGCGGGCTTGCAGTCTAGCCCACAAGTTACGAGTCGCTATGGAGCACCCGAAATGTGGCTGCTGCAAACTGAGATCATGGAAAACTAAAAAACAAAAACCAACCCCAACTGCTGTCAAGTCAACTCTGACTCAAGGTAACCTTACAGGAGAGAAGAGAACTACCACCACCCACTAGGATCTCCAAGACTGTGATCTCTATGGAAGCAGACTATCTCAGCTTCCTCAGCTGGCTTTGATCTGCTGACCTTCTGGTTAACAACCAACTGTTAACCACTGTGCCCCCAGGGCTTCTAAATACCTGTTGGATTTCAAAGACTTAATATGAAAAGAATTCCTTTTATAAAGATTGGTGGTGGTGGTGGTGGTATGTGCCGTGGAGTCGGTTCCGACTCATAGTGACCCTGTACAGGATTTCCGAGGCTGTAAACCTTTACAGGAGCAGAAAGCCTCATCTTTCTCCCAAGGAACAGCTGGTAGTTTCAAACTGCTGACCTTGTGGTTCGCAGCGTGATTCATAACCACTATGCTACCAGAGCTCCTTCAGATTAGATGCTAAAAATTATATTTTTTAAATATATTGAGCTAAATGAAAATGCTGTTAAAATTAACATCACCTGTTTGTTTGTTTTTTACTTAATGTGGCTACTAGAAAAATCTAAATTTTTGTGGTTCACATACTGTCTCTAGTGGACAGCTCTGGTCCAGCCCAGTTGCTGGCTTCTGCTATTTCCTGGTCTCTGCTTATTAAATTGCTGACTGGTGCTCAACACTAACCATCCAACAAGGAGTCTTACGGCTAGAAGCAAAGAACCACTCTTTGTCTCTACTCAGTAACTACATGTGTATACACATTTAAATTCTGACAGGTCAACAATGACTAACATACTACACAAAGTCATTTTACTTTGAAAAAATCATGAGAATTTATCAGGATTAATGTCATGGCAGCTCTTAGGTACCATCGAATTGGTTCTGGTTCATAGCGGCCCCTCTGTACAACAGAACAAAACACTATCCAGTCATGCAGCATCCTCATAATTTGGTTCTGTTTGAGCTGAGTTCACAGCCACTGTGTCAGGCCATCTCACTGAGTATCTTCTTGGTTTTTGTTTACTCTCTACCAACCATGATGTCCTTCTCCAGTGACTGCTCCCTCCTTATAACATGTCCAAAGTACATGAAATAAGTCTTGCTACCCTTGCTTCTAACATCTTGGTGTGGTGCTGTACAGTAAACACTCAACCACAAGGTTGGCTGTTCAAATCCATCAGCCGCTCCTCAGAAACCCTTTACAGAGATGCTATGAGTCAGAACCAATTCGATGGCACTTAACAGTAACAACAATTCTTGCTTCTAAGGAACATTCTAGTTGTACCTTATCCAAGACAGATTTGTTTGATCTCTGGCAGTATATTTAATATTCTTCACAACATCATAATTTAAAGGCATCAATAGTTCTTCATTCTTCTTTATTTACTGGCCAGCTTTTGCATGCATATGAGGTGACTAAAAATACCAAGGATTGGATCAGGTGTACCTGTCTTCTCAATGTGGCATCTTTACTTTCGAAA